TAATATAGTACATTTGTCATAATTTGGTTGTAATCCAGAGAGGTTAGAAAATGTATCTAGATCCTCCATGAGGCTGTGGAGGGATTCTAGTTGTGGATCTAAAAGAAAACATGAATCATCAGCGTACAATGACACCTTTGTTTTTAAGCCCTGGATTTCTAATCCTCTGATTTTATTGTTGGATCTGATTTTAATAGCTAACATCTCGATGGCCACAATAAATAGATATGCCGATAGTGGACAACCTTGTTTCACTCCTCTTGACAGTTTAAAACTTTCTGAGAAATAGCCATTATTTACGATTTTACACCTAGGGTTACTATACATGATTTTGACCCATTTTATAAGAGATTCTCCAAAATTGAAATGCTCCAGGCATTCATATACACTGCTCAAAAAAATTAAGTGAACACTTAAACAACACAATGTAACTCCAAGTCAATCACACTTCTGTGAAATCAAACGCACGTGACAGACGTGACAGAGTCTGGAGCCGCCGTGGAGAACGTTCTGCTGCCTGCAACATCCTCCAGCATGACCGGTTTGGCGGTGGGTCAGTCATGGTGTGGGGTGGCATTTCTTTGGGGGGCCGCACAGCCCTCCATGTGCTCGCCAGAGGTAGCCTAACTGCCATTAGCTACCGAGATGAGATCCTCAGACCCCTTGTGAGACCATATGCTGGTGCGGTTGGCCCTGGGTTCCTCCTAATGCAAGACAATGCTAGACCTCATGTGGCTGGAGTGTGTCAGCAGTTCCTGCAAGAGGAAGGCATTGATGCTATGGACTGGCCCGCCCGTTCCCCAGACCTGAATCCAATTGAGCACATCAGGGACATCATGTCTCGCTCCATCCACCAACGCCATGTTGCACCACAGACTGTCCAGGAGTTGGCGGATGCTTTAGTCCAGGTCTGGGAGGAGATCCCTCAGGAGACCATCCGCCACCTCATCAGGAGCATGCCCAGGAGTTGTAGGGAGGTCATACAGGCACGTGGAGGCCACACACACTACTGAGCCTCATTTTGACTTGTTTGAAGGACATTACATCAAAGTTGGATCAGTCTGTAGTGTGGTTTTCCACTTAAATTTTTAGGGTGACACCAAATCCAGACGTCCATAGGTTGATAAATTTGATTTCCATTGATCATTTTTGTGTGATTTTGTTGTCAGCACATTCAACTATGTAAAGAAAAAAGTATTTAATAAGATATTTCATTCAGATCTAGGATGTGTTATTTTAGTGTTCCCTTTATTTTTTTGAGCAGTGTATAAACCCCAGTCGCACTTTATCAAATGCCTTTTCAAAGTCTGCTTTGAATAGCAGGCCTGGTTTCCCAGATTTTCCATAGTGTTCTATTGTCTGTGGCATCTTACATTACTGCATTGGCCTCCAAGAGGCTGTGGGTTTACACGACTGGCAGCCTGAGAGCAGCCATGCATCCTCTACACATACCAAGCACCTTCTCAAGGGTTATATGGATGCTTTGTGTAATTGTGTGTGTGTTTTATGCAAGTGGAGTGTTTTTTAACTCACATGCACTGGGTGCATGTCAGTGGAGGCTGCTGAGGGGAGGACGGCTCATAATAATGGCTGGAATGGAGTAAATATTTTGGATACCATTCCATTCACTCCATTCTAGCCATTATACTCCACTGCAGCCATTATCATGAGCTGTCCTCCCCTCAGCAACCTCCACTGGTGCATGTGCAAACATGGTGTCTTTGTATGTGGATGTTAGTTTTGCATTTATCTGCATATACTTTGAGTGTGAGTGTGAGTGTGTGTGTGTGTGTGTCTGTGTGTGAGAGAGAGTGAGAGTAGGTGAGTGAGTGAGAGCGAGAGAGAAAGAGTGAGTGAGTGAGTGAGAGAGAGAGAGAGAGAGAGAGAGAGAGAGAGAGAGAGAGAGAGAGAGAGAGAGAGAGAGAGAGAGAGATAGCGAGAGAGATAGCGAGAGAGATAGCGAGAGAGATAGAGATAGAGAGAGAGAGAAAGAGATAGAGAGTGAGAAAGAGAGAGAGAGCATCGTATACCCAGGAGAGTGAGCATACTCTCTGAGTGCCTGTCTCTCTTTCTGTGTGTGTGTGTGTGTGTGTGTGTGTGTGTGTGTGTGTGTGTGTGTGTGTGTGTGTGTGTGTGTGTGTGTGTGTGTGTGTGTGTGTGTGTGTGTGTGTGTGTGTGTGTGTGAAGAGAGAGACCACACTCTGAACAACAAGTAGAAACCCACAGCTATGAAAAAAAGTTGACATACACAAACAGAGAAATAGGCACAGCAGCTATTCATAGGTGAACCACGACAATTCAAATGCAATTTTTTGGAAGCACTCCAAAATCATCTTCATTAGGCTATCTAAAATAGTACAGGAAACCGACCCAGAGTCACCCAAGTAGCTTCAGCAGTAGCAGTAGCTGTAGCATACTGACCACGCTCAGTCACACTCATTCAGTTTGAGGAAAAGTGGATCACAGTGCCCCCTAAAGGTCGTTCAACAGAAGTGCTACTGCAGGATTCCTGTGTTCTCCTTCTTTGTTGTGAGGACTCCCACACCCTTCCTCTCAGCATGGGGCTCTTGGCATCCTCCAGTCGGTTTCAAAGCAAGGCCCCTGCCTGCCAACACAAGAATCAGGTTACTACAGGGCTTTAGTTATGAGGATTAAAAGCCCTCCTGTAGCTCAGTTCGGAGAGTATGGTGCTTGCAATGCAAGGGTTGTGGGTTCGATTCCCACGTGGGGCCAGTATGAAAAATGTATGCACTCACTAATTGTAAGTTGCTCTGAATAAGAACGCCTGCTAAATGACTAAAATGTCAATTGGATCACCAAAAAAAAAATAAGTATTGGAAATTAAAATTTAACAACTTATTGTGCACTGCAAGGTTAAGCTCCTTAGCCTTTTGATCTAGGAATCACCAGATGTCCATACATGCTGCTGTACGAGCACTTTCAAATAATGACCATGCATATTCACTTAAGTTTCACCTGGATTTGTGTTAGAATGGACTCAGGATTTAACCTACAGGAAAGCACAGTAAACCTACAATATAAACAAGGTACCCTCTCTAGATGCCCTGTAGTGACTTGACTCTCTCTCATTCTGGGTCGGGGACAGGCAGAGCCCGGTCAGCCCAGGGACCTAGATATACCTGTACCTTTTTACTTTGTATGACTAACATCCCTGCCAGTAACACGTCAGGTATAACCTTAGCTTATGTCACCAGCTCTGATGAACACAGACTTATTGTCCCTGTCTCACCGGCTGAACTTCAGCCCCCACCACCCAGCCAGCCACCGTAATGAAATACACAGGGCCATATGAGTTTGGAGCCACCGGTGGAAATAAATCACAGGTTGGCCTTACAGAGAGGAGCTAACTGACTGACTGCCTCTGACTGCCTCTGTCCTTATGTGAAGTTGTCTGTTTGATAATTCAATGTTAATCTCTGTGAAAATGTAAGCGCTGGAAGAATCCTGATAAGGTCTTAAAAGAGAGACATGTCCAGTTGGGCGAACATGAGGGGTTTATATGAGGGGTTTATCTCCGTGATGGAAAAGATTAGAAGCAAACATAGTGACTCGTGCAAGTAAATATTATTATTCATGTCGAAGATTATTTTAAAAATCACACATTTTATGGTAGATTTCTTCAATTGTGTTCCTAGACTTGATTTGATTGTAATTTTATTGGGATCTCTTTTAGCCCAAGGGCTAGTCTTCCAAGAGTCCAAGACTCAGGTATGTATTCATCACATGCAAATATGTGCATATTTTAACTTTGTGAAATATATAGCAATTTCTGATTGGGCACCGTATATGCATGGTTTATTAATGTTGTGGATATGAGTCATTGAACATAGGGACAATTTGATCTGTAGTTGAAAAGGGCTGGAGAGGCTCTATGGTCAATACATCCTAATTTGTCATGCTTAGCTATTTGAGGACAACGAAGGAAGGCCTATACCAGACAGTGCATTTTGGGTATGCCAGTCATTACTGTTGTAATAGATGTGTACAATGTTTAACCAGTGTTGAAAATAAAGGTTAAGTGGCGCAGTGGTCTAAGGCACTGCATCGCAGTGCTAACTGTGCCACTAGAGATCCTGGTTCGAATCCAGGCTCTGTCGCAGCCGGCCGCGACTGGGAGACTCATGGGTGGCGCACAATTGGCCCAGCGTCGTCCAGGGTAGGGGAGGGAATGACCGGCAGGGATGTAGCTCAGTTGATAGAGCATGGCGTTTGCAATGCCAGGGTTGTGGGTTCGATTCCCACGGGGGGCCAGTATAAAAAAATAAAAAAATATGTATTCACTAACTGTAAGTCGCTCTGGATAAGAGCGTCTGCTAAATGACTAAAATTTAAATGTAGTGAAAAAGTCCACATGCTAAATTCATCCATCATAAATCTTTACAAAATAAATGTCATATTAGTCTGTAAGATGAGGAACATTCAGAGGATGAGTATGTCAAGGGGATAGATAGATGATAGTGTAACTCTAATCAGTAAAGCTGTACTGAACTGAACCCCCTAGCTGGCAAACCAGAAATCCAACCAATATCAACACTGCCATCTGCTGGCTAACATCCCTTCCTGTTTGGCACATTATTGTGTGAAGACATTAACACACTGTAAACGCTGTTGGTCCTCCCTATAAACCCCATGGCCCCTTTTGAACAGTGTAAATGAGAACCCTCACAGACCGTAATTGCTGACCATAATTTCTGCACATGAATATCAACCATTAAGTGAAAGATTTTATGCCAATGATTAACCAAAATACCTACTACATGATCATTATTGATCAATAATCCTGTATTTAATTAATGTCAAAAACATTCATTTGGTGACAATCATGAGTCAAATGATCGAAGCCCACCAGTAACACCAGACTGATTAGATGGCTTTCTCTGTAGACAGCGGGATATTAACTTCAGCACCGTGGAGAGCAGCAGCTATGGAACGAGGGAGAGCAAGATAGCGATTCGACCATAATGTTAAGACGCAGATATCGCGAGTAGAGAGCAGTGTGCCGATTGGTCAGAACTGATGGGACAGGAGATTTACGGACGATGATAGGACAGCTACCGCATTGAAGATGTATTACCTCCACGACCTCGTATAAAAAAGTAAAAGAACAGTGATTTATTCTACTTTATCTCTTTATTATCGAGCTTTCTCATTCCTCATATTCGATGAGGTGGAACTGATAGCATGCAGCCGAGGGACAGAACATTGTAAATAGCAACAGTGCGCTCAGGACAGGAGGAGGTAAGCCGATTATGTTTCCAAAGGAAGTCCGTAAAGCAAGGCAGTTGGGGTCAGATGATCCCTATCAGGATAGAACTAACTTCAAAGATAGTGGTTTGACTTGAAGCGAGTACCGGTAGTATATGGGTCTATTCAGCAAATTAAAATCAAAACACTACGAATGTTAGGTTATTGACTGGGGTGTTCGTGAATACTCTGGCTGCTTTATTGAGTCTCCACTTTTACTCGCACACCGGAAGAATCACAGTTCTTAAACCCTGAAGAGCCACCATTGAGCCGATGCCTCCAACACGTCTCTGTGTGTGTCAGTAAATCTCTTCAGTCGAATGTGACAAGTGACAACGTTAAGATTATACAGTGAGGGAAAAAAGTATTTGATCCCCTGCTGATTTTGTATGTTTGCCCACTGACAAAGAAATGATTAGTTTTAGTCTATAATTTTAATGGTAGGTTTATTTGAACAGTGAGAGACAGAATAACAACAAAAAAATCCAGAAAAACGCATGTCAAAAATGTTATAAATTGATTTGCATTTTAATGAGGGAAATAAGTATTTGACCCCCTCTCAATCAGAAAGATTTCTGGCTCCCAGGTGTCTTTTATACAGGTAACGAGCTGAGATTAGGAGCACACTCTTAAAGAGAGTGCTCCTAATCTCAGCTTGTTACCTGTATAAAAGACACCTGTCCACAGAAGCAATCAATCAATCAGATTCCAAACTCTCCACCATGGCCAAGACCAAAGAGCTCTCCAAGGATGTCAGGGACAAGATTGTAGACCTACACAAGGCTGGAATGGGCTACAAGACCATCGCCAAGCAGCTTGGTGAGAAGGTGACAACAGTTGGTGCGATTATATGGAAGAAACACAAAATAACTGTAAATCTCCCTCGGCCTGGGGCTCCATGCAAGATCTCACCTTGTGGAGTTGCAATGATCATGAGAACGGTGAGGAATCAGCCCAGAACTACATGGGAGGATCTTGTCAATGATCTCAAGGCAGCTGGGACCACAGTCACCAAGAAAACAATTGGTAACACACTACGCCGTGAAGGACTGAAATCCTGCAGCGCCTGCAAGGTCCCCCTGCTCAAGAAAGCACATATACAGGGCCGTCTGAAGTTTGCCAATGAACATCTGAATGATTCAGAGGAGAACTGGGTGAAATTGTTGTGGTCAGATGAGACCAAAATCGAGCTCTTTGGCATCAACTCAACTCGCCGTGTTTGGAGGAGGAGGAATGCTACCTATGACCCCAAGAACACCATCCCCACCGTCAAACATGGAGGTGGAAACATTATGCTTTGGGGGTGTTTTTCTGCTAAGGGGACAGGACAACTTCACCGCATCAAAGGGACGATGGACGGGGCCATGTACCGTCAAATCTTGGGTGAGAACCTCCTTCCCTCAGCCAGGGCATTGAAAATGGGTCGTGGATGGGTATTCCAGCATGACAATGACCCAAAACACACGGCCAAGGCAACAAAGGAGTGGCTCAAGAAGAAGCACATTAAGGTCCTGGAGTGGCCTAGCCAGTCTCCAGACCTTAATCCCATAGAAAATCTGTGGAGGGAGCTGAAGGTTCGAGTTGCCAAACGTCAGCTCGAAACCTTAATCTGCAAAGAGGAGTGGAACAAAATCTCTCCTGAGATGTGTGCAAACCTGGTGGCCAACTACAACAAACGTCTGACCTCTGTGATTGCCAACAAGGTTTTTGCCACCAAGTACTAAGTCATGTTTTGCAGAGGGGTCAAATACTTATTTCCCTCATTAAAATGCAAATCAATTTATAACATTTTTGACATGCGTTTTTCTGGAATTGTTTTGTTATTCTGTCTCTCACTGTTCAAATAAACCTACCATTAAAATTATAGACGGATCATGTCTTTGTCAGTGGACAAACATACAAAATCAGCAGGGGATCAAATACTTTTTTCCCTCACTGTAGACCTTGAAAAAACTGCATTGGATAAAAGCATAGCTACATTATATCATAAGTGGTGTCACACATAGGCTGCACACTGCCATAATTGATTAATCTCTTTCTTTCAATAGTCTTTGTTCAATTAATAATGTTAGGCGACTAATATAATGTGCAAATACATTTCACCTGTGAGTGAGAAAGCTGATGTTTAGTGTTGTTACTGAGTTTTAGAATGACTGCATTTACAAAGCTACACTTCCTTTATTTTTAGATTCAAGAGATTGAGGACCAAAACAATCCGAACAACAAAATCAACACTAATGGCTGGTAAGGATTTGCATGAATTGAAATTGACACACAGCATGCATATGTTTTGGTACATAATCATGGTGTTCTATAAAAAGTCATTTCCTGTAATGTTTGGCTAGTCTCTCATCAACCAATCATACAAACACTAGTATCTAGCCTAACATGACACACCTGCCAATGCCACCGATGTATTATTGACTCATGAAATGATTGCCATATCTCCAGCAGAGAATAACTTCCCTCCAATACCGGGGTTCATCCCCCTGCAGCCGTGTTTCTACCAGGACTTTGATGAGGAGATCCCTGAACAGCATCGCACCATGTGCAAGAGACTCTACCACCTGTGGATCTGTGAGTGCCCACGGCCTACTACCCACAGCCCATACTAGAACAACTCTAGTCAGCCACTCTGTCATAGAGTTCACATATTTAGGGGTTATGAGTTGTTATACCTCTTTCACACTGCTGAGCCTAGCCAAGTGAGCCTAGCCAAGCTGCACTGCGCTGGCCTGATTACACATCAACCATAGTTGCTGGAACTGTGCTGGAAAGGAACATGTAAAAGGAAAATAACTGTGCAAGGACAGTACGGTTCAGGAAGCCACAATAGTGTGAAACAAGTTTCCCCTCTGTGCAGAGTTTTTGTGTAGCCCTCTCTCCAGTGTCGCCTACTGTTTAGATTAGATCATTGTGGTGAACACACGAGAGCTGACAGTTAACCTCTCCCATGCCACATGGGTTGTCTTTATCCACCACAGCTACAAAGAATGACAGAGGGTGTTCTGCTGTAACTAGATATTTGTATGTCAGTGGCGGTCAGTGCCGTTTAAGATGAGGGAGGACCATTTTTAAAAATGAGCATGGCCTTATTTCTATTACAGCATATTGGATGACAGTCATTCATATTACATTCACCCAGCTCATTGTAACATCGATAGGTTTAGGCTACTACATGATACTCAAATTATCCCTATACCCATCATGAGGTTGCTACAATCTAGCCAACAAATTAAAGTTTACAATGTGGGTGCACAGGTCGAGAGAAAAATGTGAGTAATCAAGGTGACAGACAGTAACACATTCAATACCACCTTGCACACTCTTGCCTGCATCTAGCTGATCTAAGGCGTAATCATAAGTCCAACAGTTGCAAACGAGAGTTTCTATTGGACAAATTCAGGTATGTTTATCCCCGTTTTGTTCCATTTGCTTCCGTTTAAGAAACGTTTTTAATCAGAATAGGCGGGATGAATACACCCCTGATCACCGCAAACACAGTTCACTTTCATAGTAGCCACATACAAACAGCATGATCATTTGCTCGTTGTATAATATATTCTCAGATCTACGCACTCTTCTCCTCTCACATTTTCCCTTCGGTTGTGGACTTCAGTGCACAATACAACAGCTGTCTGTGACCAGGCGAAAAAACCTTTCCAAGTCAAACCTTCATACCATAACTGCTAACCGGTACACACAGCCTACATCATTGTCACCATATTAGCTAACGTCATAGTCAACATAGCTAGCTACTAGAAGTAATGCGCTAATAAACCTGCTACAATCATGCAGTACAGTGTACAGCAAGCAGTTTAGCAGTTACACCGGCGGGCCCCGGTGGCAATAAATTAATAAAACCAAAAGCTTACCATGACTTGGAAGAGCTCCAGTATTGGATAGCCATAGCCAACTAGCTAACATAGCATCCCTCTCTGTTTGAGCCGGGTGTTTGAGTAGGCTAAACTAGCTATCTGCATTCGCTAGCTAGGTAAGTGAAAGTGAATGTGAAAAAATAATACAACTAAATATAGCTAGCTCTCGCTCTCTCTCTCTCTCTCTCTCTCTCTCTCTCTCTCTCTCTCTCTCTCCTCTCTCTCTCTCTCTCTCTCTCTCTCTCTCTCTCTCTTGCTTCTTCATTTTTGAAAATTTGTATTTGTTCAAAACTGTTCAACTATTGTCTTTATCTCTTTGAGTCAACTACTCACCACATTTTATACACTGCAGTGCTAACTAGCTGTAGCTTATGCTTTCAGTACTAGATTCATTCTCTGATCCTTTGATTGGGTTGACAACATGCCAGTTCATACTACAAGAGCTCTTATAGGTTGGAGAACATCCTCCGGAAGTCGTCATAATTACTGTGTAAGTCTATGGAAGGGGTTGAGAACCATTAGCTTCCTAGGTTTTGTATTGAAGTCAATATACCCAAAGGACAGAAACTAGCTGTCGTCCGGCTACACCATGGTGCTACCCCAGAGAGTGCTGTTAAGGCTACTGTAGACCATTGCAAAACAGTGTGTTTTAATCAATTATTTGGTGACTTGAATATATTTCAATTTCTGAAATTCACTGAGGAGGATGGCCCTCCCCTTCCTCCTCTGAGGAGCCTCCACTGGTGTATTTGTCATCCAGGCCCATGGGAGATTATGCATTTGCTGCCCCTTCTTCTCATCTAATGACTTATCTTTTACTCTCTCTGCAGATCCCCCCATTAAGTGATAAACATTTAAACAGGTATTCTGTACCTCTGCGTTTGCACTTCTACACCACTAACAGTGTTGATGGAATAAACTCTTTTATCCTTCCTCTCATTCCTTTTGTGTGTTGTGCTTGCTCTGCATGTTTGATGTTTCTATGATTTCAGTCATTCTAAAATGTATTTTAATCCCTTAAACTCATCTCATTGAATAGTCACCCTTGTTGCATTGAATGAATAGACAGAATTGTACAGAAAACAACAAAAGTACTTCTAGCCTTCACTTTGTTTCTTTGCCGGAGATGAAAAAAGGCTAATCACTTAATGAGTCTATTATTATAGCTTTGGTTGGGTTTGTAGCTCAGATGTAGGGATATCTCTTCCCTTTGTGGACCAGTAATTGAAGCTGATTGGCTGCCTGTGGCAGTTCTGTGGAGCAGGCTGGAACTGAACCCCTAGCTCACGCAGTGCTCTAATTACAACCAATTCCATCTTAAGAGGAGTAGGTTTGCTAGATTACTGAGACAGAGCAAAACAGAGAAGAAGAAAGAAAATGTGGACACCCGCAGAAAGGGCACTCAAGGAACCGGAGTGGACAGAAAGTGCACATTTATCTAAGAGCTATTCTGACTGAGTGGAGTGTAGCACTTACTGGCTCTCTATCCTGCCATGCACCATGGTTCCCTGACTGGTGTTATTGTTATACTTTTGCATTGTTCTACTGGTGTGAATAACAGTGTGTTCTCCCGGTGGTGTGTTTTGTAGTGCATGCAATCACCCTGGCTGTGAATCTGGTGGGCTGCTTTGTTTGGATGCTGGGTGGAGGGGGCGTGACAAATTTTGGCATGGCCATCATATGGTTGATTCTCTTCACCCCCTGCTCCTATGTGTGCTGGTTCAGGCCCATCTACAAGGCCTTCAAGTAAGTGGATTTCAGACACACCCATAAGGTATCCAACTACCACTAGATCATTTTAAAGCTATAACTAGGGCCCATAGTTTTTCTTGGTCAGGCTATGTGGTCAGGAAAACCCTCCAGTCCTACTTTGACACCATTATGCTTGATCATAGTGATATACTGTCAGTCAAGGGAAATCAGTTACCACCAAGAAAAATCTTGAAAAGTGATTTACTTATTAACAAGTACCACACTGTATAATGTGTTGTGTGTCTGTGGACTTACAATTCCTTTTGTTGTTCTCCTAGGACTGACAGCTCGTTCAACTTCATGGCGTTCTTCTTTGTGTTCATGGCCCAGGTGGGCATCAGTATCATCCAATGCATAGGGATCCCAGGCTGGGGAAACTGGTAAGACTAACTGGTTACACATTAAAATAACCTTAATTAATAAGCCCATTATGAATGATTATACACATGTATTAATGCTTAGCAATTCTCCATAAAGTATTATAAATGAAAGTTATTGTGTTACCGACAAACTCTGTTTAGCCAAAAAAATTATGTCTTTAAAACGACAGCAGTATAACCTCCTACATTACCACACCCTGTCATATCATTAACAATGCCGTAGGTGACAGTCAGGAAATAGCCTCACTCAGGACATTTATAACTTAATTCTGTCATTTGAGTTTAAGGCTGTTAAGGGCTAAATGTCACCTGGCTTCACTTTGATTAGCAGATATCATTGTAATGGCAGCTTCCATCAAGTGTATAAATGTCAACATTCAGAAATGGATGGTTATATGTGTGGGACATAAAACCTTTTTAAGGCTGATCCACGATATTAGCCGACTACATAAAGTGATCCTGATCGCTGTCATTTTAAGTTCAACTGTTCGTTATAGCATCATGTCTTCTACTATTTTGTGAAGTGGATTACTTTACTTTACTACAATTGATACCATTGTCATGACGATGATGAGGATGATAATAGTCTTATTTTCAGCATCAATGAGAGTTTTAGCTTTAGCTTCAGTGCATCAGTGTTCTCATAAAGCATTTATCCTGCAGACATACTGTACACTGAGTATACAAAACATTAAGAACACCTGCTCTTTCCATGACATAGACTGATCAGGTGAATCCAGGTGAAAGTCATGATCCCTTATTGATGTCACTTGTTAAATCCACTTCAATCAGTGTAGATGAAGGGGAGGAGAAAGCTTTTTAAAGAAGGATTTTAAAGTCTTGAGACAGTTGAGACATGGATTGTGTATGTGTGCCATTAAGAGGGTGAATGGGCAAGACAAAATATTGAAGTGCCTTTGAACGGGGTATGGTAGTATGTACCAGGCACACCGGTTTGTGTCAAGAACTGCAACGCTGCTGGGTTTTTTACGCTCAACAGTATTCCATGTGTATCAAGAATGGTCCACCACCCAAAGGACATCCAGGCCAACTTGACACAACTGTGGGAAGCAACAACATGGACCAGTATCCCTGTGGAACGATTTCAACACCTTGTAGAGTCCATTCCCTGACAAATTGAGACAGTTTTGAGGGCAAAAGGAGCTGCAACTCAATATTAGGAAGGTGTTCCTAATGTTTGGTATACTCAGTGTAATGGAGCAAATGGTAACTGTCTTCTTCTCCTCTACACCTGTCAGCGGCTGGCTAGCCACCATCTCTTTCTTCAGCTACAACCTTTGGATCGCCTTGCTGATGCTCATCCCCACCCTCTTTTTCACTGCCACGGCAACGCTGTCCTTCATCGCCCTCACCAAGGCAAGTCTGTGTCCTCTGTGTTCCGTCACAACCATGGGAAACGTAGAGCATGAAGATGTTTATGGTTTCACAGGACTGGTGATCTTTATGTCACTCACTCATGCCCATTGTGCCGGCTGGTGCATAGGGAAGCAACAAAGGTCTCCATTGCTCTCTGTCATCTTTATGTGCAGCCTGACATTTTCCTGTTGTCCTTCTGCTCCTTCTCTCCAGGTCCATAACTTCTACCGTGGCAGCGGGGGCAGCATAGGCAAGGCCCAGGAGGAGTGGACCACAGGGGCCTGGAAGAACCCCCACATCCAGCAGGCAGCACAGCAGGCAGCTATGGGGGCCGCCACGGGGGCCATGATGCCGGACCAACAGTACTCCAGCAACACCCCACAGTACAACGACAACCAGATGTAGGGGGATGAAGTGGAGGGAGGGAGGCATGTCAAAGCATGAGCAGGAGTTGGGTATCTGTTTATCCCATCCCAATAAAGTGTGTCTCTATCGCAGCAGCTCTTTCTATAGGGCAGGGGTCGTCAACCTTTTTTTTGCCCAGGGACCCCCTCCCAGGCAAACGGGCAACCCAGGGACCCCCATCATACGTTAGCAATTTCTTCTCACATGTCTTGTCTTAACATCAAGTGAATGATAATGGCAAGGAGAAATAATCAACATTTAAAAAATGAGTAGATTTGGTAGATAGTTTTTCATTATTTTGACCTCCCCACATTATAATTGGGAAAGGAAGTGTAAACTCTAACATAGCCTATTAGCTAGAAAGGTAACTCCAAACACATTTTTGCTAAAAGCAGCTGTTAAGCTGGTTGAACAAAAGGTTAGCCATATGTTGGCAAAAATGTATGTCCAAGTCAAGAAAGCTTACCAGCAGCCAGTGGCACTTGACGCACTGGTAGCCTATTGGCTCCAACAAGTGTAAGATGCTCTATATTAGGAGTTGAGAAATAATGTTGACATCATTAGAAAGAAGATATTCTCCTCTTTTCTACTGTAATCATTTATTCTGTTGTTGCTAGCGATATACCCCTGATACAGGGCAATACACTACACTACCACACTACACCAGCTGACTCGGAACACCCATAATGTAAAGACATTTCATGTTCTCAGCATCTACACTGAATGACAGTATCTGGTTTCTACTGTGTGATGTCATATTTCTGCTTCTGCTGCTTTGTTTTGACGTGTCACATCAAAGATGTGTCCCTATGTTATGTCACTGTGTTAGCAGGGCCCTGTGGCCACCTGCACACAGCATCAACTCTGCTTGTCAGAGCTCATTCTGATCACCTACTGTCCTCTCCTCAGTGGTCTTTGGGGTGGTGGTGGTTTTTGGTAGCCTCCTCCTGCTCTTGACTTGTAAAGTAATGCTTATGATATAGTATTTAAATTATACATTTGTTTGTTTTATACAGTAAGTTACTGGACTCTAGGTTTTGTCGTGAATAAATGTAGTCAGTGGCTGTAGGAAGAGAGGCGTGTATGACTGTGTTTGAATGCAGTACTATTAACATATTTATTTCATCTACTGAAATGTAAAAAATTGATAAAAACATTTTATTACAGAATGTAGCACTGAGATAACTTTAATATTTGACCAGGAGTGTTTATGTACAGTAGGAGATAGCTTATTTGGTAATACATATGTATGTTTATGAATGCATTACTCAATCAAGTGAATTCCAGTTGATTGAACAAAAAGGGCTATCCTCTGAGCTATCAGGGTGCTTTGTGATTCTCAGGTAAAGCAAAGCTATAAACACTGTACACAAACTGTGAACCTTTTCTGTTTACGTCCATGTGTATGTTTTTGATAGCTTATATAATATGTATTTCAAATGAAACCATAATCCTGTTGCCTCAGGGGTATTAGTTTTATTTGATTCATTATGTAACTTGAAAAAATGGTTGCACTAAAATAAGACAAGGTATTACTGTGAGGTAAAGGTCAGTATGTACTGTAGTATTAGAGACGTGTAGAAAAGTACGCTCCTTTCTCTTATTTATCAATATTATTTTAACCCTTTAAACTTGATATTAGAGCAGCACTCAACTACTGAATGTGTGAAAGTCCTCAAAATGGCAGTATCTCACATTTTACTGCAGACATCTGAATTTGGATACCATTGAAAGAAGCAATAACTCCTGTTTTTATCAAATTCATAGTATACACCGCCTTTGATTTAATATTGAGGAGGTAGTGAGATTTGGAAACTCCACTTCCTTTGAATTGGCCTGGACGTTGGTGTTGGTGTCCCTGGGGTCCACTGTCTACACTGATATCTTTCATCAGGCTAGCTCAGAGGCTGTTTTAAAGAGCTTCAATGGAGAGCTAACTGTGTGCTCCCAGCTCCCAACCTGAGATGAAAGATTACAGGCCAGTCGCATGTTTCATTTTCCACAGTCATGGAAATGGGACTTTCTTCTAATAGTCTGAGAAGTAATGAATGCATACCAAAACAATGAACTATTTGTAGGGGACTATTGTACAATATGTCTTTAGAGCAAGGCTCTCCAACCCTGTTCCTGGAGAGCGCTAACCGTCCTATAGGTTTTCGCTCCAATCCTAATCTTGCGCACCTGATTCTAATAATTAGCTGTTTGATCATCTGAATCAGGTAAATTACAACTGGGGTTGGAACGAAAACCTACAGGAGGGTATCTCTCCAGGAACAGGGTTGGAGAGCCCTGCTTTAGATAGACATGTAACATCTAATGTAAATGAATCAATGTGAGCTATAAATTAATTGCTATGATTTCACTTTTGTTTCTCGTTATGTAATTGTTTTGCATTGAATGTCTACATGTCTTAGAGGGTTCTCTTTTTTAAAAGTGTGTACTTAATGTCTTGTCTATGGTAGACATTGTTAGACAGCAACGTTGTACTGTATGGCTTGTTGTATGGTTGTTTGACCACAGAGGGGCGCTGATGGTTCCTTTTATCTGTATGAGAGAAAATCCCTGATAAACAAGCTGCCTGCACTCAGTCGTCTGGCTCTTCATACAGTAGACTTTAGGCCTATAGGTTAGTCAGTATTCAGTCTACAGCTCAAGGGTTCCTCCTGTTCCCAGGTGGTAGCTACCTGTGACCAGGAAGGAAGGGAGAGATAGAGCCTTAGATCTAAGTGGGCTCCAGTCAGCCTCAGCCTGGCTCATAATGCCCTCCTGCCACCTCTCTCTCTCACAGGGGCAGATGGCTGAGCAGGCGGTCCCTGTGAACACATTACAGTGTGCTCTATGCTGTAGGGGAAAGAGAGACATTCATGGCACAATATGGGTGCCATTTCCTCTGGGGTAGTAGGGCTTTGAAAATGACCTAAATGGCCTCCTGTTGAGGGAAGGAGAGAGAGAGCAGTAGAAAAACAGTGTACCTCAGGTGTTCATTAGTTCATGTTCTAGCTAGATCCCTAACCTGGCCTAATCTATCTATACCAAGGCCTCTTAACCCCTCAAGTAGCTGTATTCAACATTATTATGCACATTACTTTAGAGAAATCCCCCAAACCTATACTTCTTTTCTCTCCTACATCTAAAAGGTATCAGCTATGTACCCAGTGTAGGAACTGGGGTATAAACTATGCAGTTAGCCCTTGACTATGGAAGGGATATGTTTGTAAGTACAGTTGTTTAGGCTTAGATTAGCCAGTGACTGATGTAAAGATGTGTAGAGCACTGTTAGCTTAAACTGTGATATAATCAGTATTCAATAAGCTGCATCTCTGCAGTAATCAAGCAGAAGCATTGACCAAAGTTTTCCCCTGGTACACATTCACGTGCAACCACCGTAGCTCATACCAGCAGATGCTGCTGCTTCTTTGTCATGTCCATGTCATTAAATGTGTGAGGATATCATTGAACCAGTGGGATATCCTCTTTATGCTGATCATGTGAGGTTGTGTGGTCATCTTGGAGAGGCAACTAGACAGTATTCTGAAGCACAGTTAGAAGGGGAATTTTATTATAAAGTGTAAACGTTGTTATGTACATAAAAAAAAAAATATGTTTTGTCTTGTCATTTTATGTTTTGATTCCCTTATGGACAATAAACAAACTCTATTCCATCTTATGCTATGAATATATATTTTCTGGTCTTTGTGTGTCTTGACTGTGTGTGGAGCCATGGTATGAGTGTTAGTGGGACTGTCTATTAGTTGCTATCACTGTAATAGCTCTCCAGTCCCATGCTGATTTTGGAACCAGGCAGTTAAATATGCGTTATGAAGGTTGTAGCGCTCATGAGCCAAAGTAGCGCTCACGAGCCAAAACGGGTCCCCGGAAATTGTGCACAATTGTGTACAACGTCATCCATTTCATATGATATGAGACGTCCTGAACCCCCCCCCCCCCCCCCCCCCCCCCCCCCCCCCCCCCCAATCCGTACGATATGTTACAAATTCCAATTCATACAATATGTTAAGTGCTTAAAGGGGCGATCTGCATTTGCTATATCAATTTGTTGACATTGAATCTTGAAGAATATAACTTATAAATGCCTCATGAGCTTAGTTCAACTGTTTTACTCCAATGTTTGTTAACAAGGTAAATGTAAACAAACACGATATAGAATAAAAACATGGTTGAAACTATACGTTTTATATCATGGATGGTCAGTCTTGTCCTCCATAGCTCTGTCTATGAATTTGAGAGTGGTTACATTTCTCCAGCCCCATCCCTCAGCTTTTTACCGAAACAGGGAGCAGGGACATCACTTTGCTATTGTTTCAACTGCTGATTGCCGCTTTAAGATCCTGTTCCAATCTCTAACTTGCTGTCTGGAAGTTATTCATGTCCCTTGTTTACCCACAGTCTCTGTGCAGATCATTAATCTGCAGTCACTAAAGCATCTCACAATGTATGGCACCTATTTGTTGCAATTGCCTTTTCTTCATTTTAATCAAGAAGTTGCATTTCATAATTAAAATGTGATTTTGAAATACTTTCCAAAACATTAAACACAACAAATGAAACCAAAAAACATTTATTCTCTATCTAGTGAGAAAACCTAGTGTGAGCCTGTGCATCCAGGTGGCAGTGACCAGAGACTGCCTATAGGTGGCAGTGTTGATCCAGTGTGAGTGAGTGGTGGGCTGTTAACTGTTCAACCAGTTGCCCACTGGGGGCAGTATATGATCTGTGTTTCTCTCTGCCAGGGTGTGATTTCCCCACAGACACAGCCCTGAACATGAACAGAAAGAAATCCCATATAATCAAGGTGATAAAAGCGATATGGCCAGCATTTACTTGTCTGGCTAATAACTTTACTCTTGGTCAACTCAAATTTACTGAGCACAATTTCACACTGGACATCCTCTGAGAAGGTGCCTCATCATAGATTAGATTCAAAGCCCTTTAACTGTGGATGTCCCCTTGCCTTCCCACTCTCCCTGTGTTGAGAGTGATATAATCACTCAGAGGAGCTGGAGAAGAAAATACACAGTGATATAGGCACCCAGAGGACCCACCAGCAGTCATGGACCAGCTCTGTTATTGGTATAAACATGAAAAGCTATCTGTTGAATTGGGCCCACGTTATATGAAAGAACAAGTCAGATAGATGCCTTCTGGTTAATATGAAATAGCTCTGGTTGGCAGCTATGGAATTGCATCATTGATTCATAAACAACTAAGGTTGTATAGTTATAGTGCATATCATACTCAGCATATTATAA